ATTTATTCCAGGAGAGTAGATAAAACTAGTTGAATATAATTTCATTGGTGAATGAAAAAAATCACATCAATATTCTATTGTCCCAAGGGTTACACTCCACGCACGTGTTATTGAATGGAAATTACTGTGTTGCCATTTTCCAACCGCCAGCGGAGAGTTGAAAATTCATTTGGAAATTTCACGATGGGAGGAATGAGGTTTGCAAAACCTCCCGTGGTTCAAATAGTTTCGCTTGCGTTTCTGTATCTCTTCTTTTCTCCCCCTCCCTTTAATAACATTTTGCAGTTGCCCAGGGTTTGTCAGAGCGGCTCTAACGAGGTTCAAGGGAAATTCTGTAACTGAAACTTTACACGGAGAGAAATATTCAATAAAAATTAAGTATCTTTTCTGTAATTCCGGAGCGAAATGTGGTTGTAGGAAATTTTACGGAACTGTCACGGAATTTTTCCAGAGAGTTCCGTAATTTTTATCTGAAATTCCTGTGAAGAATTACGATGCTGTCACTTAAATTTTCTGAGTCGATTCCGTAATCGGTGAGCGAATTGTGAGTTCCGTAATTTTTACTGAACATTTTTCTACGTGTATCATGAATAGTTCAGATAATATGATAAATAATACAGTGGGACGTAATACTCTGTCATGAAATGTCAAATGTCACTGGAAATCCACTGAGTGTCCAAATTTTTCAGCAGCATGTGGACGAAAATTCTTCACCGTGTTAATTTTTAATGACGAAAATCCTCAAAATGTCAGCCAAAAATTTTCGTGTAGACTATATTTTTACGCAATTTGAAGGCCCGCAACAACCATTTTCTTCAATATTTTATTTAAACGTTATTTTTACGTACTTTGAGCTAGCCTCACCTAGATCCCTCAACTATCTTTTTCGCTCTTGATGCAATGTATCGCATGAATTACGTCGGCGCTACGAGTTGGTTGCCAAATGGACCGCGAATAAATTCATCGATCCTCGCCATATATATTTATCCGTCCCTCATTTTTCTTCCTCCCCCTGGTGCAGCCATCCGAAGTACTTGGAAGACTGAAAAAACTTCAGTAAATAGAAAAAGAAATTGAGAAAGAGATTTGGTACGTAAATTAGAGTTTCTCACTCCATGATGATACTCTCAAAAAATATGACTATCTTCATAATGGGCCTAGCTGGAAGGGTGGTGGGGGCGTTGCCGATGCAAATTTTCCGCAGTAGATTCCTTCTCGTCGCAGTCATTACCGAATGGAACTGGCAGTGGTGTCTTTCCACCACTTTTTCCCCTCCCCTCCGCCATAACCCTTCGTCCCTTTCGAGTCGCCCTTGTCAACTTTACCTCTTTCTCCCTTGGCCCAGCAAGTTTGGTAACCTTCCAAGAGGACTTTTGGCTTGTCTTGGAAACGTTTCAAACAGTCTCGGGGCCATCGATTCGTTGGCCCAACTACAACCAGTTTCAATGTATCTCGTACAACTCTCAACTAGTTCGAAAACAACGATGCATATTCACAGAATGTGTGATTCAGCTCAATTTGAAATGTCATGGGTAGTTCAGTTGTAATTTTCAGGAGAGCGATATTCAATTTAATTTGACAGGCAGAAAATTATGAAGATCTTTTTATTTCAAATTTCACTGAAGATTTAATGAAAGAGTTCCTCATGTCTTTATATACACTACACTGGATTTTTCAATTATTTTATTTCTTTCAATTTTCATGAAATAATTCAGTAGTGAAGTGATAAACGGAGATAAGTCAACTCCCAGTTGAGTTTTTGGGGAATATTTCCGAATCTAAGGGAGATACCGAAATTTTCGTAATTACATTTCCTGTAGCCCTCAATCGGCTCTACAAAAAAGGTTATAACAAAAACTTTGCTATCTCCCTTAGATTCCGAGCTATTGATTGAAAACTGGTCAATAGTCAAAATTGACTTATCTCCTTTTACCACATCGCTACTGAATTGAAATAAAAATCACATTTTTCATTGATTTTTCAATTAAATAGTGAATAGTGAATTTTCGATGCTAAAATTTCAGCGGAACTATATGCAATTTAAAGCGTACGGGGGGGGGGGGATTTTTCTCAACAATTTTGAAGACAACAATGCATATTCAGAGAATGTGTGGGCCAAGAAAAATAGTTTTCGATTACGGTCGATTGGTGGTCAAGTATACATATATGCGGAAAACGTGTGGACCGCCGAACGCGTTATTTACGCAGGCACACGAGAGATGAGCGTGTATACATAGGTGTGTATATAGCGGGGTTGTATAGCTGGCGTGGGCGTCGTATGGACGTCAATACGGAAACGACGACACCAGACGGTACGGCGCTTGATGCTTTACAAAGTTTACTCCTCCGGTTCCCTCGAGCTCATTCAGATTCACATCTTCCATTTTAAATTGCATACAAGTCGTACAGTTGAATATTATATTCGCCATATTCTCCCGGTGAATCACATCACGTTGCGCACAAAAAACTATGAGTGTGAATCAACCCTTGTTTAGTGTATTCTATAGAGGGGGTGGAATAACTCGAATGTGGGGTGGATTCATTATTCCTTCTGTCTACAATTTTTGGTCATTTTTATCGCATCATTTCCACCGAAATTTCAAGAAATTTCGTCATTGAAAATTCCCAAATTCGATGGAAGAATCACTAAAAAGTGTAAATGGATCATATTGGAAAACAAAATAGGATCCATCGTGATTAGAGATTCGCCAAGTTGAGCAGAGCCGCACGGGGAGGCATGTTCAGTAAAAATTACGAAACTCAATTCCGATTACGAAATCGACTCAGAAAATTGAGGTGACGGTATTGTAATATTTCACAGGACATTCGAATACACGGAGAGAAATTTTTTAGAAAAATTCTAGTGCTAGCACGGGAAAAGAGGCGCAAAGTGACGGCCAGGAAAAAATTCCAGTGCCGGCATTAGAAATTTTATTGTTGAAAACGTGAATTTTTTCTCGTATTTCTGTGAAAATTTAACAAGACTAGAATTTTTCTAGAAAATTTCTCTCCATGTAAAAATTACTTAATACTCTAGAAAAAATCCGTGACAGTTCCGTAAAATTTCCTACAACCACATTTCGCTCCGGAATTACGGAAAAGACACGTAATTTTTATTGAATATTTCTCTCCGTGCGATATTCCGCAACATGCCGAGGCTTGAGAGGCAGGAGAAACCGTCAAATATTTGAAAATTTTTGACGAGCTTATCGCCATACTCATTCCCGGCATGTCGATGGCTTGTAACAACGAGAGGTTGCATTCACCTCCTATTCCCACTGATTCCATGATAACAGCAACGAGACGAATGATGGAAGCGAGAGGTGGGGGGATTGGGGAATGAAACGTCATAGAAACCCGGCTTTTCGAAGAGACCGATCGATTTCACCGTGCTTCCAGTCGCTGCTAATTAACGCCCCGGACTTGTGAGGCTCTGTTCCCGCCACTGTGCCCTTTTATTTCGCCCTCTCCCTCTTTTCGTTGCGAGTCCACCATATAATGGACTCGCAATGTTTTCACCCAGCGGCTGGAGAATTAAAAAAAAATATATATGAAAATAAGCTCTCGTTCTGATTTTAGTTTATTCTTCAATGGGCGGAAATGAAGAGAAAAAAAATCGGAATGCATGAATTTCAAGAGGTATACGGGGATGGATTCTGCTTGGTTTTATTTTTGTAATTAGTGTTCGAGGGACTTTCTTTGTGATAAAAATAACGATGTGCGAAATCTATTGAAATAAATTTACCGGCTAATTGAGGTATGAACTTCTATTCAAAGGAATGCATAATAAATTAGGTCAGATGGGAATTTACTTTTAGAAGTGTTGGGACAATGGATGTACAACAACAATGGATTTTCATCCCGTTTATCTATACTTCCTTCGACATCCCACTCTGATGAACACACCGTTGTTATCTGTTTATTCTCATTGTTTGGTATCGCGATAAACTGATATAAGGGAATTTCAGTGGCTTCTCAAATATCAATTATGACTTTCGAGTAACGTAACAACGACATAATTGTCAAAATGAGACGATCGTTCATTTTTCAAATTTTAAAAATGTCAAATAACTTTATTGATTTTTTTTTCTCCTCGTGTTGGGAAAATCTTGATGGTTATATCTTCATCTAGTTTCCTCGCTCTTTATCTCCATTGTGGCTATGTACCGTCCCCTTGAATCATATACCAGCAGTTGCACATGAACGAGTGCACCGAGAGCGTCGAAATTTCGCTTCCCCTTTGTTGCATAACAGTGGAACCCGAACGTTATAGATAAACGCCAGGAGTTCTCCCAGGCTTGGCTGACTACACAATGTTGTGAAACTTCGGTATAAATTGAAGCCAATCCGATAATTCTCCAGGCAAATATACTCGCCCTAATATCACCCTAAAATACATGCACGGCCTATATTTCAGTTGTCTTTTATGCAAGCACGGAGAAAAAAAAGTTGCAATTTTCAGGAACATGTCACTGGCTTCTAGAAATCTATCACCAGTTATTCATGATACTGGGTGCTGACTGGAATGACAAGAATAAATTCCCAAAAATCAGAAATGGGTTCTTGAAAATCAGTGACACCCCCATGGAAAAATATATAAAAAATATATACAATATAGGCCAATTTAATATATTCTTCGAAAATATATAAGATTTATATAAAATATAAGTTTATATACGTTTCATATATATTTAATATTATATATTAACTAAATATATAATATTGCATGTTATATTTTTAAGTAAACGAAAAAAAATTAATTGCAAATTGGTTTTAAGTAAAGTAAAAATTCTAAATTGCGCACTCGTTGATTTTTCCAATTGCGAATATCTAATAATTGGGTATAGATTCCTGAAAATCAATGACATGTCCCTTTTTTTTCTCTCTTTTTAAACCAAAAGAGAAGAGAACATTAACATAAAATCGAAAATGGAATATCCCCAGTTTCATTTAAATTTGAATGTTAACGATAATGAAATTGGCGATTACACGTGTTTCAGTGTGGGAATCCTGGCGAAAACCGGAAGTGAAGCAGCGAACAAAATTGCTCCGCGACCACCAATGGCGGCCGCGGGCTTTCCGCCCAACTTTACCAACGTCGGCGTAATAGAGAACTGGTGAGTTGTCCCTTTTTTTTCCTCTTTTTATCTTCCTTCCACTGTAAATACTTTTCTCCCCCCACAATGTATAGATAAAATCAGTCATTTTTTTCACCATTTCGTGGCCCATACATAGCTCTGTGGGACAATTTCCGTGTGTGTATTATTATTCCCCAAAACACGTATTATAATTATTAAAGAGTCAGTAGATAATAGCGTGCGTGCCTTAATTCTCCAGCCATACTTATTTTCATATTTCTGTTTGTACGAATCGATAAAATGTTATTTCCGTTGTCTGTCTCCATTATTGATAGTAGGAAGCATGAATTCATTGATTTTAACGACACACGGGAGACAAAACGTACGAGAAGAGAGAATTATTCCGAGTGTATGGCACTTGTCAAGACCTGAAGGAGATATTTAAACGAATGGATGATATAATTTCATAAAAAGTTGATGGATATTTATGTGTATCCACTCCGCCTGCCACATACACTACCTGAGGGAGGAGGGAATGAACTTACGGATAGTCGAGTTTTAATCGACGTTTTGGATAAACCTCGAGTGTATATGAGCCCAGGCGCCGGCGCACTCTGCGTTATCATTTTTCGTGTGGCGAGAGCTTTCACTGGGAAACCAGAGCAAATGCGTATCCCCATTCGCGGTGAAAACTATCCCCGTGGAATCATTAAATTCTTACAAGTTTTTTTTTTCCTGCAAAGAGGAATAAAGTGATAAAGGGGGGATTTATGAACGAGAAGAGGCAGAGCTTTTCGAGGGGAAAAAATTAAAAATCATAATCTTGGTGAAGCGAGTACCATAATAGGAATGCATGCGCAGAAAAAGAAAATATTATATGTATTCAGGGTTATTATCACAACGATACAAAATGTGGAATTCCTCCTATTGCACTCCAGAGCTTTTCCACTTGGTCGTGTGTACAGCTGAAGATAAGCTTCAAAGCATACCTTCTCCGTTGGAATTCTATATATCGAGTTCTTTTATACAGACAATTCCCATTTGTCTTTTTTTTTGTTCAGCATTTTTTTTTCAAGATTGTATTATTTTTTCCAATTCTACCGATTTTTGCTGCCAGCTATGGCCTTCAACTTCCAGTTCACTGAATTGAACAAATTACAAAATTAAAGACTAATAAAGATGAGAACAATGAGCTCGTGAACAATATGCCACGATTTTTATTGCACATTCAATATTATTTGTTCTCTAGTCTCTCATCGCTGGTATATGAAAAATGTGCTCCAGTTTTTGATTAAAGCTCTTCATTCTGCACTTTTTCTCTCATTTTTCACTCTCACGAATCTCACCCCTTTGAAATGTGTCTAACCGTGGCTATTCATCCTCACACTTTTGTCTCAAGTCTAACCTCCGCGCCCTCTGATTAATTCTAGAGTTCTTTTGTGGAAAGAACGAATTTGAAAATGAAGAAATTTCAGTTGTTTAAGTGAAATTTGAAATTTTGGAATTTTTTTCCCCCAAATCTAATTCAATGTGTCATCAGAATTATTAGTGAACTATTTATCAAATTTCAATTTTCCTCTAGCAGTGTACGTTGATGATTTGTTCGAAATATGCTTTAATTCAATTTAATATTATCGACCACTCATAATGAGAAAATTAATCGTATGAACTTGGCACCGGCATTGGCACTGGGATAAGACAGCTAATTTGAGTGAAAGTGTACGCATGTAGTGGTACGACATCAGTGTGAGAGAGAAAGGCCAGGGACGCCCTGTGGAATAGGTATATTCGAGCGGGCAAAGCGTGGGTGGTGGCCGCAATTAGCCGATGCCCGGTGTATAATAAATTGACGGCGAGCCAGGCCCCAAGACCGCCTGATATCAGAGACTACCCCTTTGAGTCCTCCAACCCATGTACACTGTGTACTATCTACTTCCGAGACGACGCTCTCTGACGAAATTAAGTTGATACCCTCGCACTGTACGTTTGTTAACGCATCCCTGAATGACCGATTTCACGTTATTCGATCAATGAGAGAGCCTTTGAGGCCCCTCATTCCATTAAACAATACATTAATTTCTTACATTACACAATAGATAAGAGAAACGATGGCGACTTCCGTGATTTCGTCGCTTTCATTCGTTTTCACAATTTATTTCAATGCCCTAAAATCGTTTTATTGCTCTCTTAATTCTCGCAATTGTCAGCGAACCTTGAAGTCCATTTTAACTTTACGGTTACTTTTTTATATTCTTCGGTTTCAATTATTTATGAATCTAGAAGTTCAGGCGTCATTTTCAATTAATTTTCGATAGTATTTAGTACAAAATTACTTTGACTTTTCGATTAATTGAAAATTCATAGAATATCGGTGAATTTTCACCGATACAATTACTTGAAATTTTAGTGAATACTTCAGATTATCAACAATGAGTGAATAAAGTGAATTTCTCCAGCCACAGTGGTAAATCAAGTCATTTGTTCCTAGTCGATCATTTCAATGAGAATTTCATTAATTCAATTGGCTCGTGATTACGCGCATAATTATTTCTGCTTCAAAGGCACCACAACGGGTATTCCCAATGTAATTACCAATTACTTTGCTCATGGTACAGGCCACTTATTTATTCGAATACGTACAGTCTAATCGAACGCCCATGTATTGTCCGCACACGTTAATTCCCAAGATTATGTTTGGAACATTCGAAAATTTCAAAAATCCCACTGAACCTCCTTCTACAAGGCATGTCATAACGCTATTACAGTTTATGTATTATTCTAACTGTGCCCCAAGCCATTAAGGAAATCTCTTTTGAGGGATTACGAGAGAACTGTACATTTTTTTTCCTCCCCAACTTTTTCATTTATTCTTTTTGAACTGAATTTAGGTAGAGCCATTTAATAAAGAGCATTTGATTTTTTTGCAATATGCAGAGGATAAAGCTATATCATAAAGTCATTTGCAATCCAACTTCATGATGGAAATGCTTGTGAAGGGAAAAAGTGAGCGCAAGATCGTCGTCGTTGGTGTTTGTCTCACCCACACCAACTTGAATAAACGATCCCTCGCTTTGTAAGAGGATCCACAGGAGGTTGGATGGCTTTCCACCCTATACTGCCCTCGAATATAAACGAGTTTGTGGCAAAACCTCAGAATCCCAGCCACGCTGTCTCAGGAGTGCCGAATTCGAGAGCCCACTGTTGGTAAAGTAGTGACGTCTTCTGACTTGCTTTTACCCCAGTGGCGGTCCTTTATCTTGTCTCCACGACCTTCCGCGCTTGTTTGTGTTACCGCAGTCTTTCAACTTGTATGTTTTTTCCAAATCTCAACGAGAAATCACAAATAGCACGGATTGCACGTAGCTAGCTTCCCCGTGACCTCTATGGAGAGAATGCCAAAAAAAAATGCAAATGAAGGCAATTTCTTGTGATGTTTATTCTAAAAACATCAAGGAGTGAAAGACAGTAAATAATAATTTTATCTATCGCCTTGGATTTTTTTTTTCTCTCCCACGGCAGCAGCTTTCTATCCAAGTCTCTCTGAGCTGTCTCCCGAACAAAACCAGACACAACTCTTCTATATATACCGCAAGAAGGCTTTCGTTATCGCCGACATTCAACCGTACAGCTCAACTCGACACGCACGAGTCACCTTTGATTCAGATCACTTGAGCTCCCACTTCTCCAATCTCCTATTTCTTATTATTTTCACTCTGGTTTTGCCCTCCACTCCGAGATTAACACCTCTTCGTAGAATCGATGCAGCCATGCACAACGGAATACCAGTTTTATCCACTTTCTATATTCATTGGCACATTCGTTATCGAAATTTTTCTATCGAATAACTGTGGCACGGAAATTTTGTTAAAATAGGACTGGGGCAAGTATCAGATTGTCGAAAAATACGAGCTAGATGGCTCATAACGATTCACCCCACCGAGATATCGCGATACCTGCCGAATCTCCTATACCTGTGTATACACAGTCACCTGTTTCAAACGCCTCCCCTAAGTGCCTATCCAATTGCTTTTCTACCTCCCTCCATCCGTGCAAACACATATGTATAGACGTGTATAGGCTACATTTACAGGCACAAATGCTTGAAATGGTGACACGAAAGCACATTGGCCGTTACCATGTACAAAGACAAAGATACCCACAGCTAGGGGCCAGAGTCAAGTCATAATAGCCTCTCGTTCCTTCCGCCCCCCCCCCTCGCTCACTCTCTCTCGCTCTCTTCGCTCGGTCCCTCTAACTACCAAACTGCTGCTTGCTTCGAATCTATACTCCCTGTTGGATAGGAAACATCCGGCTCGCGGTTTTGCCATGCCAAACCTCAGCCTCAAATCCTATACGTTGTCTTCCAGATCGTTGCTACGGACAATTTTGACATTCCTTCGTGTATGTACTATGTCAGGGAGCGTGGTATCTGATCGATACAGTTTTCTATCATTTTGGCATGTACTGAGCTGCACTGCAAAAATTTCTTTGAAATTCAAATGGTGGCTGCGTGACAATTATACGGATTAACCAATTTACCATCGAAATGTGTGACTGTCCGCATGTGAAAGGGTTGATATGGAGTTTGACTCAAATTTTCAATCGAAACAGGAATATTTAGGATCAAATTACGCTTAATTTTGATTCCATTCAAAATTCAAAAATATTTTCTGCAAAATTTTTCGGATTTCCACTTATTTTCTTGGAATATTTGAATTAAAATTTACAGTTTCCATCAATTGTTTCATCAAATTGTAAACTGATAAGAGAAGTGTATCGGAAATTTCAGCCAAAAATTTATAACAATGTACATTAGAAGAAAACACAACAATACGGTATTATGTAAAAGTTGCAAAGACATAGTTTGCGATGAAAAGAAAGCATATTATTGTCACTAGTTCTGTTACAAGCGACCAATCGCCTGCATTGATGGGCTTCTCAGGAAGCATCTGGCTTCCATATCGGATACGTAATATCGATTCCGCCCCACCCTTGAAAATTATCCTCCAAACCAGAATTACGGGTGAACGATGAATTTT